CCTCTGGGCACTTTGAAAAGTGCAACTTCTGCCTATTTTTAAGACAAGGATGTAAAAAGAAAGATAGGCAGAAAGAATAAAGAAACCACCTGTGTGGCTTTGATGAAAAAGGCAGGCCATAAAGTTAGCAGCACATGGATAAGAATTTAGTTATGGAAAGAATGCATCCTTATATTCCAGCACTTCTTGTTCTGCTTTTTCTACTAGAGGATGATTTCTGGGTAAACATGCCATCACCTCTGTAAATTAGTCTACTTGACATTGATTTTCCATCATGTTAACCTTGCATACCTGTGAATGATTTACGTATGAGAGCGTCCATCCTTTTTTAGGAGTAGTTTTGTTTTTTATGACAATCTTTCTCATAAATTGTGATAAGACTATTTGGATGAATTGTTAGATTCACCAAAAGTTAAACAAGACTACAATGGAAAAACACACGCCACCTACTATTACTGAAAATATATCTTTAAAGTAGTCTCTTTAGAGCTGAAAGTATTCTTTTTAAAAAAGGAAGATTGCATCATTAGTGCTTCTAATGGCATTAAAACTTTCTTTTGCATTGGTTCATATATTAACAGAAAAATATTATGGCCAAGACTGAATGTAGAAACAATCCCTTTTATCATGGAAGGTACATAATTGGAAATAACGAGCCTACAAATAGTTCTTGTATGTTCTTGTATGTCCTGCACTGCCCTTGCATGCCATCACTGTCCCTCGGAAGTCGGAAGTGGGTGCAGGCTGTGTTCCTGACAATAGCAGGGTTGTAGTGGAAACTGTCTTCACCACCTAAGTTATGGGGCCAGATACAGTGAACACCATACAAGCAAGCAGTGGGTCTGCCTGCCCTAAATTATGCCTGTTCATGTGACCCTATCATTATTCAACAGGATCTGTGCCCTTTGACCTGGATCTCATTTCTACAGGGTTTAGACAAGTGTCAGACCCTTGGAATGCTGCACAATAGTAACCTTGATTCCCTGACTTTGCTGGGGGAAAATTTGAGTTTAAATCTAGTGTTGAAATTATCTGGAATGCTTTGTAACTATGGGAGTCAGACTCTTCCTGATACAAAAGAAGCCCTAGCCCTCAGTCAGAGATATCTGCCTTATATTTGGCTCAGGCTTCCTGGTCTTAAGGACAGATGATGCATTTATAAAAACTAAAGACTCTTTGTTGTTTTTGTTGTTGCATTTGATACATGAGGATATTCAGATGATTCCTCTTTATGTTTAAGTTTCAAGATATCATCTCTAAAGCTTTATCTTTCTAATTGTCAAAATACAACCCTTTCTGTAAACAAAACAAAACAAAACAAAACAGTTCTTGGCAAATGATACTAGAATAAAGATGGTGGGATATTTAGTGCTTGGTGGATGAACAAGTGGAAAGAGGGTATATTTTGGAACCAAGAGGCACCACTCCATGGCTGGTCTTAAGGTCCTTGGTGGGGGGTGGGGGGTGGGGGGATGGGTGAGGGGGGGAGTGGCGGGAAGCAGTCTTTAATTACATCTGGTACTCATGAATTCCTTTTGGAGTCTCTTTCCAGATCTGTTCCCCCATCAGCCTCCCATCGAGCAACAGAAATTCCAGATGGTTCCCTCCATATGCCAGTGCTCATTCTCTTAAGTAGGATAGATTGGTCATTGACAAAATAGGATAGAGTAGCCTTGGCCAAGTCAAGACAAGGTGAAAAGCAGTGGGCCACAGTTAACTTAGAGGTGCTCTACCATTCATATTTTTAAGTGGGTTGTATAAGTAACTTTCGGAGTGATTTTTCTGAAATGTCTTGAGTAATTTCATGGAAAGAATGCTACTTCTAGAGAATGTGGCACATTGATTCTAACTTTCTACACCCGGCACAAAGAGAAATCCTCTAAAACAGTGATTCTCAACCTTGGCTGCACATTAGAATCACCTGGGAATCTTTTTAAAATCCTGATTTCTGGGCCTCATCCTCTGGAAATTCTGTTTCTTTGTGATGGGGTGGGGCCACAACATTAGTAACAAAGAAACAGAATTTCCGGAGAATGAGGCCCAGAAATCAGGATTTTAAAAAGATTCCCGGGCGATTCTAATGTGCAGCCAAGGCTGAGAACCACTGCTCTAAAACCTCCATTACAGCTGAGGGTTGGCCAATGTGAATTCGCAGCTGATCTCTCTGGAGAGTGCATTAGGATTCATTATTTTGCTATTTACAACGATAGGTATAATCTGTGTTCCAGTGATAAAAGGAGAATTCCTTTATAAAAAAATTTAGGGCATATGTTTATTTTTTATTACTCTAGCAGAATCTTGCTACAAGAAGCACATTGATAGACTTGCTAGGATAGGAATGAAGATAGGATCAAACTCCACATAATGAAAAAGTATATGATCATTTCAAGTATATTGTACTGTACTTATTTGTTTGTCTTCATTTGATGATGGGAAACGTGTTACTCATCTTTGAATTCCCACTACTCAAGAAGATAAGGCACACGACGGAAAGAAAGGAGGAAAAATGAGAAGGTGAATAGGCAGATTTAGGGAATGGCAAAGGGAAGCTGGCACTGAAGGAAACAAGAGCATTGCTTCTACTCTTCTCTTCATTCTTTTATTTTCCTCTGATGATTATTGGGCTTTACATGTAGTGGGTTTGTGCCCTGGAACATGTGTTCTTTGGTGTTGTTTTTGAGCACTTACTTTATTATAGATATTGTTCGAGGTGCTGAGCAAGTAAAAGTGAGACTGGAAGCTATGGTCTCTGTTCTCATAGCACTTATAATAGTTAGGCTATCTGTGATTTGTGAGAAATTGCCTGTATATTTGGAGTGGGTAAGGCAATTAAATCAAAATATATCCTAAGGGAGTATGTGATAAAGACCAGAGGGAAATTTTAAATTCCATGTAATTGTCATAATTTAACTGAAAAGTATATTCAAAAGAGGGCTAATATCATGCTTTTATGTGTCTATGAGTACTATGTGGATGAGAGAAAACATTTTTTGAAGCAATTTAATTGTTTTGTACAATTAGGCTCAACAGCCAAACATTGTTAGAATAGGCCATAGGTTGGAAGACATAAAAGCCATTTGTATAGAACTTAGAGGTGCTTGGATGAAATAATTTATCTTGCTTTTAAAGTTATAGTAAAGTCATGAACCCCAAAATGTATGCTAAATCTGGAACATTCTCTATATTTTTCACTCTTTTTGCATATTTTAAAGTATCAGAGATTAAATTGAAATATATATATATATATATATATATTTATATATTCCATCTGTTTAGCCTGATTATTCATTTTGTATTAGTTGCTAATAAACTCTGGAATTTGAAGGTGTGTAGGGAACTAAACTCAACAGACTTTGGCAACATTCACTTAACATCTTTATCTTTGATGTCACAATAAAAACTAGGGGTTTAAAAAATAGATGGTTTCTTCACTTAAGAAAGTGACAGTGGGAGAGAAAGACATAATTACACCGAGACCAACCCAGTGATAGTTGCCTTCTTACATACAATAATATGTATACAGTTATACAATGTATTTTAGTGCTCTATTATGGAAATTTACAGGGTTATCATTGGAGAGTGAAAGAGAGAGAGATTCCCATGGGGGAGTGGTGAATCTGATGGTGGGATTGGGAATGTCTTGCTAGCAGAGCTAAACCTTAGGTTGATTCTGACAGATGAGTGGGTGCTGCTGATGTTGTTGGATCGTGACCATACCTTGAGAACTACTGTTCTGTCTAACAAGGGAAAAGAGAGAGCACATACAAAATAATTTATGGAACAGGCCTAGAGACACCACACTTCAATTCTGCCTCCATTTTATTGACTACACTTCAGTCACGTGACTTCATCTAACTGCAAAGGAAGCTGGAAAAGGTGGTCTGACCCAGGAGAAGGGAAGTGGCCGGTTTACAATCTTACAGACACTGCCACAGGAAGGCATGGTTGTCTTACAGCTAGGAAAGTAGTCAGGACTAGAAAAGACAACTCATGAGAGGCTAACCTGGGGGGCAGATCCTTAAGCATAGCAGTGTGCATTGTTTCCTGAAATAAAACATGAGGTTATGTTAAAAAATTTCTTTAAAAGTTACATGTGTCACTGATTATGGTACTTGAAATTTAAGCAGAAATATTTATTTGATATATTTAATTTGTGCCAAATTACTGCTAAGCCTCAGAAAGTAACACAATACTTTGGAATACATAAAATATTTTCTGTTTTAGTAAAAATTCGATGATTCTTTCTTCTGAAGTTGGAAGGAAACTCTTTGTGAAAGAGAAAATGAAGAATAATGATTTTAAGTGTCCCGTAAGCTCTACAGGCATGCCAAGCTAATAGACAATAGTACAAATAATAAAAATATTCACATGTATTGAGCACGTAGCAGACACTTTGCTTACGTGGTGGGAACTGGGCAATGTGAATGGCTAATTAGTATTGTATAAGCAGTTCAGATCATTTAACCCTCACAAATCCCTATGAATAAAGCAGGTCATTATTATCCCCATTTCAAGGAGTAGATAACTGAGGTCAAGAGAGGTAAAGTTGTTGGCCCACATAGCCAATAAGTAGCAGAACTGGGATTCACATCCTAATATTCTGACTTCAGAGGCCAAGGTCATATCTGTGATTTTCTCTATCTCTCTGAACTAGAGCCAAAGTTAAGGGACAGGGAAAGTGTAGGGACCTCATCTGTACATTTGCCCTAAAGTAGGCTTGGCCTAGCTCTTTGGGACCTAAGCAATGCCCTGTGGTCATAACACTTGGTTTGTTAACCAATGGCAGACTTTATTAGTCATGCCTTCTTTTTCTCTCCTGCCTCTTTATGAAGGCCTGATGTTTAAAACACTATTTGTTCCTTCAGGTGTTGTACCTGTCCTGGAAGAGGTAGTAACTTAAGCAGCTCCCAAATTTCCTGAACTGCAGAGCAAATCACTGGAGAAGAGAAGGCAATTCTTGTTTTGGTTACATGTCTGAACAATTTCTTTTTCTCCTGCAGACAGGACTGTCCTTGTGGATACAGACCTTCCATTCCTCAAAGGTCTCTATGTGATGGGGACTTTAGAGTTCCCTGTGGACAGAAGCAACATTCTGAGTGTGGCCTGCATGGTCATTGCAGGCGGGGAGCTGAAAGTCGGTGAGTAAAGGGCACAAGGATGGGAGCATAATGGAAATTAAGTCCTGTGAGAAAGGCCTTGGGAAATGATGGCATCATCCAGCCGGTTGCTTAATGGAGTTTGGGGGGGGGACTAAGGCGAGGACCGAGTTTACCAGCAAACCTTTTCTTTGGCAAATCTTTACACAGACGGGTAACTTTTATTGGTCATTCTCTCATGTCCACCCACTGACATCAGGATGTGTTTCTGGTCCCAGAGTCCTCCAGGCCACAGATCCATTCTCCCTTTAGTTCTTTGTAGGAGAATTTACCTGTAACTCACTTTTTCAGAAGATCTCCTAGGATGGATTTGTTATCCTTCGCTCAACTCACAGTAAAATTTCAATTGCTAGCCTAGTGCAGATCCTGGGGAAAACGGACTTGAAACAAAGCTTATGTGCTGATGCTTTACTGAGGCCACTGGCACTGGAGTGGGAGGAAAGGGAAAAGAATGAAGGAGAAAAGAGGGGACATCAAACACAAGTTGGCCACAGCTTCTCAAGAAAACATGACTATTTGCTTGGCTGTGTGATATGCCTTAAGAGAAGCCTCTGTGGAATCAGCACATCTCGGAACAACAGGGAAGAAAGCTGGGGAGAAGGCATATCTGGTCCATCTGACAACCAATGAACTCCTGTCTTTCTTTGCTATGTTTGTGGCTCCCCATACAGCCAGTGGAGAGCCCAGACACTCAGTGGGTGCTGGGAAGCTCCTTTAGCTGGGAAGTGAGGCATGCTACTGAGAATGAGGGGCAGGCAGGATGGAATGGATCGGGGGTAGTGTATGAACCAGGACGGATACATTGGCTTTCTTCAAAAAAACAATCAAAAAACATGAGCTGCTACAGGTAGACTGTATGCTTGGAATTGTTGTAGGCAATAAAAGTACAGAAGTGAAAAGACATATGCTCTGGCCCCAAAGGAACTACTTTTGAACTTGGTGGGGAATTCTACTTTGCTCTCCAACAGATTAAAAGAGAATTCCCAGAAACAATAATACCTTGCCCCAGAGAAATAAATCTCTGATGGTGAGGAAGTATTTAGATATATTGTTTGGGAATATCCAGATTTTAAAATTTCTGGTGGGAGAGCATTCTAGACCTAACTACCAAACCTTAATTACTCTAAGACAGTGATGGTGAACCTATGACATGCGTGTCAGAGGTGACACGCGAACTCATTTTTTTGGTTGATTTTTCTTTGTTAAATGGCATTTAAATATATAAAATAAATACCAAAAAGATAAGTCTTTGTTTTACTATGGTTGCACATATCAAAAAATTTCTATATGTGACACGGCACCAGAGTTAAGTTAGGGTTTTTCAAAATGCTGACACGCCGAGCTCAAAAGGTGAAAAATTGTGGTCAAGCCTCTTCTGGTGACAAAAATAAATAAATAAATAAATAAATAAATAAATAATAAATAAATAAATAAAATCAAAACCTTTTGAGAAAGGCTGCTCCCACTTTTTAAAATCCCATTAGAATTACTTTCCTACTATTAAGCCAAATTCTGTCTTCCTCTAATTTCTGTTGGTTCAAGTTCTTACTTGACCCCTATAAGATGAGTATCAAATTCCCTTCCCTTCAATAGTCCTTTATTCACATTTTCTTGCATCTTCTGTTTTTCAGGTTATGCAGTTTCTATTACTTTAACCACGGCTAAATAATAGTTACTCTAATCATTATTATTATTTAGTTATAGTGTTTTAAAATAATTTTTATTTTTTTCAGTCTATTGTACAATACTGGAAAATACAGAAGAGCAATAGAAAATTATATAAAAGAAATCAAGTATTCACTCATATTCCCAAATATAAAGATAATCACAGTAAACATTTTGTAGTCTTGTCTTGAATTTTTCCTACATGTGCACAAATACATGCACACACACACACACACACACTTTAACAGGTATACAGTTTGTTAATATTTTTGACCCTTTGTTATCACTGTGAAAATTTTCCCAACTTGTTCTATTTCTAAGGCATATTTTTAAAATTTGTTGGGGTAACTTTGGTTAATAACATTATATAAATTTCAGGTGTACACCTTTATAATACAATTTTATAATTCAATTGTATACTCTATCATGTGCTTGCCACCTGAAATCAAATCTCCTGTGTCACCTTGGATTTGACCCCCTTTGCCCTTTTCATCCTCCCCAATCCCCTTTTCCCTCTGCTAACCACCATTATGTTGTTTATATCTATGAGTCTGGGTTTTTATTTGTTTATTTTGTTTATTCAGTTATTGCTTTTTGTTTTATATCCCAAAATCATATGGTTTTTGTCCTTTCCCATCTGACTTATTTCACTTAGCATAATACACTCAAGATTCATCCATGTTGTTGAAAATAGCAATATATTTTGTTGTGTGGCTGAGTAGTATTTCAATATATATGTATCACATCTTCTTTATCCAATCATCCAGTGGAGGACACTTGTGTTGTTTCTATGTCTTGACTATTATAAATGATGCACCAATGAACATAGGAGATTTGATGTTCATGTTTTAAGTGTAGGGAGATTGAATGTGTTATAAGAAAAAGGAATTGAGCTGAAAGACAGATTTATATGTGACCATTCACTTATTATACACTGGCCAGTCACACAGCAAATTATCAGAAGCCAAATTTCTTCACATAATGTATAAGACCAAGAAGCTTCATGGGCCATCACTATTCTATAAATCCTACAATCCAGACATTCCCATTCCCTACCGTTTCCTGGAGGTATAATACTCATCCACAAATATATGCCTTTTCAGATCTATTCCTTTATCTTTAAGCCCCTCCAGTTTGGAAGTGATGATGCTTCTAATTCTGTTTTTGCCAGTTTGTCTCCACTACTTCACTGAGACATCTCTTGAAAGCTAGGCTCACGACTTCTATTTCTGTGCATTCAACCTCTCCTATGGCACCAGCCTCATGGTAGGCAGTGAACAAACAGATGATGAATGAAAGAATGGACACACAAGTGAAATACTTTAAGCTCATCTTAAGTGTTTCATCAAACTAATGAGATAACCACTGAACAAAGAATGATATTGAATTTGGCATTTGCGACACAGCTGCAGCCCTCTAAGCAAAGCTTTGATCTTAAACCTCCCTTCTAATGCTAGCATTATTATTATACTCTACTAAAAGTCAATTGCTACCTTTTACCAGCACCAGCTGCCTTAGAAGCAGGACCACCAAGAAATATAATTCCACAATGTTGGGACTTAGATCAAAATGCATCAGAGGATAGACATACTCTGGCAGTGTTTCGTACCAATGTCCACATCTATTAAGTTCACTTACTAACTAGTGTTATTATCTATTTCATGTTGGGATTTCTTTGGGGTGTGGTAGAATTGGACAGATGGGTTGAAAGTCTTCCTTCAGGCATAATACACATAGGATTGAGCAGATGGGTTCCCATAATCAAACTTTAGGCCTGACAAAGCAGGGAGAAAAAGAATACAGCATTGTCTAGTAATGGATAAAAATATAGTCGGGAATGGATAAGTTTAAAAATAAGATTTTATATATACAAATCAACAGTGGACAGTGGCACTTCCCTTCAAAAGTACAGATTTTCAGGCAACAGGTTTTGTTACAATGATAAATAACTTCAAAAATGAAAAAAAGACTAATCATAGCAATGGAAAGTGTGGACTTGAAATAAATTTTCTAGTAATAAAAACAAGGCTCAGTTTTATTTAATATTTCTATTAATTACCTGGATGGGGATATTATAAAATATTAAACAAATGAGCAAATGGTATTAATCTGGGAGGAAAAGATTAGAATCCAAAAGGATTCCACAATAAGGGTAAGATAGATGAAATAATAAAATATAGAGATAAGTAAAAAATAATATACTTACAGAACAGAGAACCCAGAAATCGACCCAAGCCATTATGCTCAATTAATATTTGACAAAGGAGGCAAGAGCATACAATGGAATCAAGACAGTCTCTTCAATAAATAGTGTTGGGAAAATTGGACAGATACATGCGAAAAAATTAAACCAGACCACCAACTTATACCATACACAAAAATAAATTCAAAATGGATAAAAGACTTAAACGTAAGACGGGAAACCATAAAAATCTTAGAAGAAGCCACAGGGAGCAAAATATCAGACATATCTCATAGCAATATGTCTACTGAAACATCTCCTAGACCTAGGACAATGGAAATGAAGGAGAAAATAAACAAGTGGAACTACATAAAAATAAAAAGCTTCTGCACAGAAAAACAAACCATCAACAAAATAACAAGAAAGTCCACTGCAGGGAGAACATATTTGCCAATGTGACATCTGCTAAGGGTTTAATCTCCAAAATTTATAGGGAACTCATACAACTTAACAAAAGGAAGATAAACAATCCAATCAAAACATGGGCAAAGAACCTAAATAGACACTTCTTGAAAGTGGACATACAGAAGGACAAGAGACATATGAAAAAAATGCTCAAAGTCACTAATCATCCGAGAGATGTAAATCCAAACAACAATGAGGTACCATCTCACAACTGTCAGAATGGTTATCATCAACAAACGACAAGTGCTAGTGAGCATGTGGAGAAAAAGGAACCCTCATACATTGCTGGTGAGAATGCAGACTGGTACAGCCACTGTGCAAAACAGTATGGAGTTTCCTCAAAAAATTAAAAATGGAACTCCCATTTGACCCAGTGATCCCACTTCTAGGAATATATCCCAAGATCAGAAACACCAATCAGAAAGGATATATGCACCCCTATGTTTATAGCAGCACAATTTACAATAGCTAAATTTGGAAACAGCCTAAGTGCTCATCAGCAGATGAGTGGATTAAAAAACAGTGGTACATCTACACAATGGAATACTATGCTGCTGTAAAAAGGAAGGATCTCCTACCATTTGCAACAGCATGGATGGACCTTGAGAGTGTTATGCTAAGAGAAATAAGTCAGAGAAAGATAAATATCACATGATCTCACTCATTTGTG